AGGTTAAATGTTAAATTTCTAGTTTAACTGATTGTATTCACTTCAAAAGGACTAAATTTATTGTTATTGTTGTATAACAAATTGATGTGATTGTTAGAAAAGCGATTGGAAATTTTAAGTATCTATCGAAATGTGATTTTAATATTTTTGTAAACTTGACAATTTTTCTTAAAATTAAATGTTATGTCAAAAGTTCTGTGCAATTAACTTTTCCTCTTCATCCTTTCCTTTTATTCCTCCATAGTCCATTTAACTCCGAACACCGAAAAAAACTTTCAAAGCTAAAAACTACTGTATAGTCACATATTAGTAATATGTGGTAGGTATAGTTTACTTGTAAAAACTTAGGAATTTTTTAATTCGGAACATCAACTGTAAAACTAGTTGGTAAGTACAAAAATAAATTATGTTGCAGCCTATTATAAAGTACTTTGGTAAGTTATTTGAAATTTAACTAAAGACGAAAGCAGATACAATAACATCATATCTATAAACTTTTTATTTTGGAGCCAAGAGAATATTACGATACGTCTAAATTGTTTATATATTCACTTCCCCTCTTCATTTTATTAGAGTTTACGGATATTAATAGATATCTGTAATAAAATTAACACAAATTTTAGGTTAATTATGTAACCAAACGTAAAAAATGATGACCGATCGTGATGTGTATTCAAGACAATTTCACATTTCATCCTTTTATTTCCAAATTCCAATGTAGAGGTTCAGTTTGTATATGTAGGTAACATTTTAGACTCAAATTACCTGTTGATTAACCATAATCATAACTGATTAAATTTATTATTTTATGTTAAAAGGAGCGTGGTACAAGAAAAGTGACAATTTTAAATTTGCCTCTTATTTTCTTATGCGATATGCAATGAGTCAGAAAGAGATGACGGTTGAACGAAGATAAACTGAGTAATTTGGTGACGTATTTGTTTTTTATTGGCTGATTGACCTATGCGGCGACAGTCTCTTTACGGACCGTGCACTCAAAGTGACAGCTATTATTAATTTTGTCAAACAATAACAAAAACGAGTGCACAGCCAACTTGCTAATTTCTGTTTAGATAGTTAATAGTGAATCAAAAAACTGATATTTTTTTTTAGACTGACGTTAACTGCGACGAATAATATTTTTTTTGTAATAAAATTGGTACAAAAAAAATCTGAGTGCATAATTTCTGCTATTTTTCAAATTATTGAAACGGAATTACGTCATGCAATAAATCGATTTTATTTTTTTTTTACTCGAAAACGGTGCTTCATAAGAAAAACAGTCGAAATACCTTTTCTCTTCCAAATTGAACAAGAAATTCAAAAATATTTTTTATTTTAAGAAAAATCAATGGTGTATTATTTTTCTCTTTAACAATATCCAGAGACGTGCCTGTGCGCACGCCACTGGTGAAACTAAAAACAATATTTTTATCGTAAAACATGTATTGTTGTTAAGTGTCAAAACCTGTAAAATTTCATTAAAATATTCTCAGCGGTTTTCGCAATATTTATAAATTTGCATTTTTTATTAAAACTTTATCACCCTGTAGATCAGAAATTAAGCGTTTTTGGAATATGGTATATTAATGAAATACATCACAAATCACTTGCACTATAACCTCCTGCAAGGAATACGTCGACTTACCAAACACCCTGTATGCAGGGTGTTAATTAATTTTGTACAATAAATTCAATAGATTATTATTTGAGTCATTTTAAGACAAAAAGTTCATATAAACATTCGACCGCAGATGATTCGTTTCTAAGATACAGGGAGTTAAACTAAAGCAGCAGCAACTAAAAATACAACTTTTTTATCTCTTGAATGTTTTTCTCATCTTGATTAATTTTTGGAGAAAAAAAAATAAAATCCACTTAATTGCCTATCCCTGGACCACACAAAAAAATATTCGTTATGGTACCGCTCGGGACACCACTGGACTTAACTAATCTAATGAAGTTAGGGTTAAATTTCTTTCGAAATCCTTAGACATACAGGCATAACCTGATATAATATACAGTACCTATGTCAGCGGATTGAGTTTACAAGAGGACAAATTGACGAAAAAGTAAAAGATACAAAAAAAAGTCAATGTTGAAATAAGTTTTTGCTTGTTTAGAAAATACGAATCACCATGACGGACCTCGATTTTGTTGTACAGGATGGGTCAAAAGCACAAAAATGTTATTTTACGTAAGAGTAAGCATACCTTATTTTGCAAGATACGAAAAAAGTCATTATTGATAAAAGTTTTTGCTTGTGTAGAAAATACGAATCACCATGACGAAGAGTGAACATACCTTATTTTGCACGATATGAAAAAAGGCATTCTTGATAAAAGCTTTTTCTTGAAAAATGGATAAGAGCAACGTTATCAAAAATTTATTTAAGTATTCTCTAGCACCTCTAATCAGAGTACCTACTACATAATTCCTAAAATAATAATGATACCTACTTAAGGACATACTTGCCATTGTATTGATTCAATGAAGTAATTATTTAACGTAAAATACTTCTCATCAAAATGCTATTTACTGAGCAAATGGTTTTTATAGTAAACTGTTATGGGAATGGTCATGTATCATATCGCTACGTCATGGAACAATTTAGCGAACAATTTGTAGGAATCCTAATAAGTCGGATGGCGATCTGCAAAATAATAAAAAAGTTTCAAAGAACTGGTTCGGTTTTAAACCTCAAAAAGAAAAATAAGAAATATGACCATAGCGATGCTTCCACAGTTTAGAAATCGGGCTAAACAGTTAGAAGTTGTGAAAATAGTCATATTCAGAAGATGGGTGGGGGACAAAATATTAAATGGAGGTATTGCTTTTTATAAAATGTTTTCTGATGAAGGTATATTTTCTACTAATAGAACTGTAGCATCCCAACACGACAGGTACTGGTCTCCAGAAACCCCTGCATTTAGAATAATGATACGAAGACAATATTTTACATAAATGAACATCTGGTGTTGTCCATGGCATTATAGGCCTATAGGTATTTTTACAATAATACCTGCAATAGAATATCGTACTTAGAAATGCTTGATACATTTTTTAGTGAAGAACTCGAAAATTTACTGTTACATTTTCGTCAAAAAAATGTATTTTCAACAGGATGGTTGTCTAGCACATTATGCTCGTGGGGTAACAGAATTCCTTAACCATAGGATGGATTTGTCGAAATGGTCCAATTTTGTGGCCGACAAAGAGCCCTGACTTAACCATGGCCGATATGTTTCTATGGGACCGTTTAAAACAAATTGT